GGACATCGCTGACGATTTCTCGACACTGAGATGTCAAACGGCGACCTTGTCTCGGCTGTTCGGACATATTGTCAATCAACTGACAAAGGTGCACCCCTTCACAATAATAGACCCAACCAGTTGTGACACGGTCACGCAATGCATTAGTATTCACTTGATCAGGTTAAGCTGAACAACCTGTAGCTGTTTTCGTGGGTCATGTTGTGACAGCCTACACTCTACCATGGTTTGGGGGATTATTGGAACATAATAGTCAATGAAAAGTATCAAATCACAGTAACCATATGGGGAATCGAACCAGGTTATTCGGTGTTACGAGCGAACGATTTTACCACAAGGCTACCCCGCCGCCGTTTGGTGTTCAGCATTGTAAAACAAACCAACACTCGTCTCCTGGTCAGTATATTGTGTCTGAGTAGGGTATCCATATTACACTACGGCAATGTGTCTTACACTTCACGTCGCTCTACAAGTGAAATTATATTGAACGTGATACATTGCGTTCGTTATATCAGTGGTTTACTGTCCTATACTATGACTGTTTGCAGCTGTTGGTTGTCGACGTCAAGGGGCACTATATGGGGATTCGTGGGTCCAGCTCTCGCAACTGGTTTGGTGAGTGTAAAGATACCTGATCATGGGCTGTTGCTGTAGGTTGTAACAGTCAGGTTGTTATCTTATAAAAATATATATCGAAATCTAAATAAATATGGATTGACTGATCTTAATACAAACATGGAAATAGTTACCGAATAGTTATGGCAAATGTTTGTCACTTGGTTGATTATTATATTGGAAGAATTTGTGATTCAGTGGAAATGAACACAAGCAACATCGTGGCTATTTCACGTCCAATTATAATATTTTACGTTAATTTGTGTATATTTCAGACCAACTTGTGTGTAGTTCAGACCAACTTGTGCGTGTGTGGTTCAGACCAACTTGTGTGTAGTTCAGACCAACTTGTGTGTGTGTAGTTCAGACCAACTTGTGTGTAGTTCAGACAAACTTTGTGGCTATTTCACGTCCAATTATAATATTTTACATTAATTTGTGTATATTTCAGGCCAACTAGTGTGTAGTTCAGACCAACTTGTATGTAGTTCAGACCAACGTGTGTATAGTTCAGACCAACTTGTGTGTAGTTCAGACCAACTTGTGTGTGTGTAGTTCAGACCAACTTGTGTTCAGACCAACTTGTGCATGTGTGGTTCAGATCAACTTGTGTGTAGTTCAGACCAACTTGTGTGTGTGTAGTTCATACCAACTTGTGTGTAGTTCAGACCAACTTTGTGTGTGTGGTTCAGACCAACTTGTGTGTGTGTAGTTCAGACCAACTTGTGTGTAGTTCAGTCCAACTTGTGTGTAGTTCAGGTCAACTTGTGTGTGTGTAGTTCAGACGAACTTAATTGTAGTTCATGTCAGTGTGTTTATATTTCAGGTCAATTTGTTAATCCTGGTCTTGGTCATCAAAACATTTCTCAGCCTCAAGGTCAACGCTCGTAAGACGGACAGACAGAAATTTCTGTAAGGTATATTCTTTCATATAGTTATGTTTATGATAATACTAGTTCTTGCAATCTGAAACACATGAGAGGTGGGACTTGACAATAAACTGTACATGCATTTTAAGTAATCAATTACAGTCAATGTGTCAACCTCCACTGAAAATTTACTTTATATGTTTCTTTGTGACAAATCATCACTTTTATGGCAATTGTGTATGTATGTAAGTGGCTGGTGATAAGGTTATGGCAGACATGCTTTCGTGAACATCTGGTTTCTTCGATGATTCTGACTGAGCGATTCATGCAACTTTCTCTATAACTATTTTGCCTGTCATGCTCTTTGGGGTCTGTTTCGTCAGAAAATCGAGACGGGTTCTTCACATAGCTTGCGAACGTTTTAATCATAAACAGTGTATAATTTGGTCTATATCCTTTATTAACCTGTATTACGGTATGTCTGACCCTTCACCCAGGTCCAGCCTGAAGGCGGCCTCCGTGCTGCTGCCTCTGTTAGGGATCACCTGGACGTTTGGTGCTCTGGCCATCAACTCCAACACGGTGGCCTTCCAGTACGTCTTCGCTCTCCTCAACTCCTCACAGGTACGTCATGGTATGGGCGTGATCTAGAGGTAACCAACTTGAATTTATTGGTTTTATTTCCCTACTAATGATGGCTCTTGATGTATATTCTTACAGTTCCTGAGTTTTCAAAAGTCATGTTCTTCCATCCCTTGATCATGACACCTGGCCAGCAACCTTTGTATAGCAGTCGTCATTACATGACTACCTACACGTGGATCATGGGTGACACTGTCATGGAAAGTGTCGGGATTTATTTTGTACTTACCTCCTTTAGTCGTGTTAGGATCGTGTTAAGTCGTATCTGCTCATTGTGGGTTGGATTATATTACGCTTTTATCAGGCCAGACACTCTATCCTCTACACCACCAAGGCAGACCTGTTTGATAGAGACTGGCTGCTCAGAAACATGAGATATTCATTAATTGTATTTTCATGAATCATCTACAAATAAACTTCTGGTCCATTATAGCGGTCTATATGATAGTGTAGATGGGTCCCAAGTTCCGCATGCATGTTTTGGGTCGGTGGTTACAAGACTGACTGTGTATCATTGTATGGGTCAATATTGTCTTGACTACTGTTTCCCTTGATCTTGACACACTTGCGTTGTCATATAGCTGGAACATTGCTGTGGCATTAAAACAACATTCACTCACTTTTCGAATACTCCCTGAAGGTTAGAATTCTCACAGGCTATGATACATAGGATATGCCCCTATACTACTATAGGATAGTAGTAAAGGGGCATATCCTATGCATATCCTGTGAGAATTCCCCTTCAACAACGACCAGGTATGCTTGTCGTAAGAGGCGACAAGCGGGAAGACTCTTTGACTTCCTTGTTGCATGTCATCGTATCCCGGGCGGTGGGGTAGCCTGATGGTTAGAGCGTTCGCTCGTCACGCCGAAGACCCCGGTTCGATTCCCCACATGGGTACAATGTGTGAAGCTCATTTCTGGTGTCCCCCGCCTTGATATTGCTGGAATATTGCTAAAAGCGGCGTAAAACCAAACTCACTCACTCATCGTTTATCCCAGTTGCATAGGTCATGATGTCTATCAGATGACGGTAAAGATCTGATTACTAACAAACCGCCATCAAATAGTTAGAATGTTGCTGTGTACGGAATAAAGAAAACTATATCACTATGGTTAAAATTGGAAAGACAAGCCGATTGTAGTTTTGTATAGTGGGTGAACATGGTGCTACGCCGCTTTAAGCAATATTCCAAACAAATATACAGAAACGTGCGTACCCTAAAACACCATATTCCGTGATCCAAAACCGAAACTGTATGTAGTTGCATTCAACATTGCAGTGGTATTCCGTGCATGGAATCAAACCAGATGAGAAGAGAATACTTTAACTACTAGGCTACCCTACTGCACCTTAATAAAGTGTAATTGTGTTTTGTTTCCAAAGGGTCTGTTTATCTTCCTGTTCCACGTGGTGTTTAACGACGAGGTTCGGACAGCCTACTGGAAGCGGCGGGGACGGATCCTGACTGTGCACTCTGTCAGTCGCTCCCACTCCACCACCGTCTCCACCAGCTACCACACAAGGAGGAAGGCAAGTACTTGCAACATTGTCCTTGGATTGTATGTCAGATAAGGTCCCTGTGGTCTGTATCACAGTCCCTAAAATTAAATTATGTTCCCTGAAACCCAGTCCTTACTGTAATGCAGTTTTTGTCAAAAATATTCAAGCTCAGAGATTAAGCGTGTGTATAGGTTCGCAGCAATCCATGTTGGTTTGTAAGTGATGACTAAATGGATCGGGTGGTCAGTCGTGGGTGATGACGTGTCAGTGCACCCTGCAGCGTGGATTATACCTCATAATATCATCCATTGCTTTTTCTGGTCCAAATTTGATCGTTTACAGGTCGCCACAATATAGCTGGACTGTTAGTGAATGTAAGCAATCGTACACTCAACAAAAACAGGTCATCACATGTAGGATATAACTCTGAATGATGATCTGCCCCAAAAATCTCCTAGATTTTGAGAAATTTAGTCAATGCCCCTGAGCTTTGATGACCACCAGCTAGAATGGACTAACAAATGACTCAAATTTAGCTTTATCTATGCACAGAAGAAAGTAGGATGCTGGCATTTTTCAATAGAATATAAACAGGACAGATTAAAAGGCCACAAGAGGAAATGTAGTTCATCCTCAACAGTATTCATATTACATGAAATTAATGACATGCTTATAATAGTATCTGTTTTCTCAGATTAGAAGGAAACATGTATACCATAATTGACATATTCTGCATACCTGCCAGTTTCAATAAATATTGCATGGGAAGAGCAACTCAGAAAGCCTTAGTCTAGAGAGAGCTATGGGAAGAGCAACGAAAACGAGAGAGAGCTATACGAAACTTTCCATTGATTATAGTATAAACATTTTGTGGATAGAAGTAGTGATTCTGACCAAGATTGGAAATACATATCTTTCATTCTTTGTTTAAATGATATGATAAAATTTGCATGGAACTGAACATTGTGATCACACCACACATAACCAAAACCAGTTTTGTGCAACAACTCGCTAATATCAGTCACCCAATTTCTTTTCCCATTTTCATCATACAATTTCATCATATCATAACATTTTTTCAGAAATGCCTTGTTCATAAATGCATATAATGTTTTATAGACTCAACATCGGAAGACTCTTTGCTAAGATCTACATCAGAGGTATTAGTATAGATGAATATCATTAGGTAAAAGATTGAAGTGTTCATGTAGGGAGTCCAAAGTGTTCATGTTGGTGGTACAGTGTGTTCATGTAGGTAGTCTGTTCCCAAAATTATCGTCCAGTACTGACTATATAACATTTGTTCTTTTTGTCCATTTTTCTTCAAGGCATTTGGCTTAATGACATCTACACACATGTGAGATCAGAGATCAGAGATCCTTCTTCACTAAAGGCTGGTTTGGACAATAAATTGAATCATCAGTAACAGCAAAGAAGCATCATATTCCAAATTCAATGCATTAACAGCGGATCCTGGTGGACAAGGGATGCAAATCTGCTTCGAATTTTGCACACCTTATACTACTGTGTTACCATGACAAGTATCTGATGAAATGTGCATCAAGATCATGGTGATGGTGGCTGACAGTAAACATGTACAGTGATTTTTTTTTATTTCAAAAGAGTTCAATGCAATGCCACTGCTTTGTGACCAGTACAAACGTCAGCCAACCTGGTTTGTGTACAGGTGTTACAGTCCAGTGGGCAGGGTGTGGCCATGTGCATGTGTACCTGCTGGCTTTTTAAATGGGTGAGTGAGTGAGTTCAGTTTATGCCGCTTTTAGCAATATTCCAGCAATATCATGGCGGGGGACACCAGAAATGGGCTTCACACATCGTACCCATGTTGGGAATCAAACCTGGGTCTTCGGCGTGACAAGCGAACGCTTTAACCACTAGGCTACCCCACCGCTGGACCACTAAGATGCTATGCAGCAGTTGTTATGTCCCCTTAAGTCCCACTGCCAAACAGGGTAACAAAAAGAACCATATTTCAGTGTTTTTTGGTATGATCCATCTGGGCTTCGAACCGAGCAGACAGTCTACCCTCTACACCAGCAAGGCAGTCCTGCTTGAATCAGATTGGCTGCTCAGAAACATGAAATATTCATTAATTGTATTTTCATGAATCATCTACAAATTTACAACTAGATACTTTGTGTGGTAGATCAAGTAGACTGAACATGTATTGACCATGTCTCCAGTCTCAAGGACAGTGCCTACACCATTTTGACATTGTTAACAGCTGTGTGCAATAATAAAACATACAAGACTCCAAGACAGTATGAAGAGTTTTATTTACATATTTGTTTGATCACAGAAATCAACTGAATTCCATGTATGCCAGCTTGACCTTGCCATCTTGACCTGCTAGCCATGCTATATAATACACAAGGTCATTCAACTACTGGAACGCCATTCCCAGTTCATGCACATTTGTCAAAATACCCATTCTACATCCTTCAAACAAAAATATGTAGAATATACTCTACATCTACATTAAATTCATTTGAGATTGGTGGGGTTTTGCTGAGAAAATCTGAAAGAAAAAGTATTAAGCTTGTTACATCCATGACCACTGTTATGCCATGAGGGGGGTGGGGTAGCCTAGTGGTTAAAGCGTTGACTCGTCACGCCGAAGGCTCGGGTTCGATTCCCCACATGGGCACAATGTGTTAAGCCCATTTCTGGTGTCCCCCGCCGTGATATTGCTGGAATATTGCTAAAAGCGGCGTAAAACTAAACTCAGTCAGTCAGTCAGTGTTATGCCATGACAGCATTGTGAAACTGGGCCCAAATTTAGAAAACAATTCAGGATAGTATTATCAAAATAGTATAGTTTAATACTGCTTTTAGCAATATGCCAGCAACTTCATTGAGAGGAACACCAGAAATCTACTTCTTACATCATGATCACCCTTACACCATGATGGAATTGTGAAACTGGGCCCAAATGTAGAAAACAATTCAGGAAAGTATTATCAAAATAGTATAGTTTTATGCTGCTTTTAGTGCTAATCCAGCAATATAATTGAGAGGAACATGAGAAATCTGCTTCAGGCATTGTACCCAAATGGGGAATCAAACTCGTGTCATCTTTAACCACTAGGCTACCCCATTGCCTTTGTTATCAGGTAATTAATCAAACCTGATTGCGATTGTTTGTTTCGAAGTTCTTAGGAAATACAGGAGCATGGCAAATGTGCACAATATTATGTGAAAATGACAACCGAATTAATAACTTAAAGCAGCGTTAAGGTACAGCAATCACATCAAGTAAATCCTACCTCACAACACCTAAGATGTCATAGATATTGGAATAAATTTCCAAATTGTGTATAATCCACTTCAGTAATCAACACCGGCAAAATACCGGAGCAAATTTTCAGGAACTCACATTTTTGACAATACATATGCCATACACAAATATCAAAATATTAGACTGACTGTTACCTGTAGAGTGTCAATCTCAATATGAGCTAGCTCTTCCATACATGGTAATGTGAAAACAACATGTATATTGAAATGCTTATTTGCAAATCATGTACAAAAAGGGTGTATACGTTTAGTGTAGTTATATAAACTCCTGTATATAAACTCAGTCAATTTACATAAGTATAAAATATACAATAAAAACTTGAATACTTGTGACTAGTATGGTTAGTATAATATCAAAATAATCTGTAAATATGAAAACAAGGATGAAAATGGTATAATTTTGGTTTTGATATATTAAATGATGATAACAAATATTCCCTATGATCAGGCATAAGGTTTACATATAGAATAAAGACAATATTTATGGATATACAACTTCCTTATTCTGTATAGGCGACGTTTCGACATTAGAATCTGTCGTAATGTTGCCTATACTGAATAAAGAAGTTGTATAACCATAAAATTGTCCTCATTCTTCATCTCCTCAACTTCTAGAATGCCAATAAAAGAAGTTTACAAATATATTTAACTTGTAGCTCATCTGCTAGGACTTCTCTAGAGATTGAATAAAGTGATTGGTTTCTGGTCCATCAAACCTGCTGAGAGAATGTGGAACATATTTCACTTGTACATGTACTGTATCCATGGAGATTAGAAATAACAAACATGCTTGTATAGTTATTGAGTTTACAACCCAAAAACCAAAAAAACATTGCACTCCATTCCCCATAACCTCCCCTTAAATACTTAAAAAAAATTAAAATAACACACTAATTCTTTTAAGTAAATTACCCACATTCCCCACTGTCAACACCTTGCTTGCTCTGAATATTGACAAAGGAAGGAATGCTTAATAAAACCATTGAGTTAAATTTGTTTTCAGAGATTGGTTGATTGTGAACAAGCTAGCTAAAGCCTTGTGGAAACTGAAACGTTTTTAAGGTACAAGGCAATAAAATACCCCTTTGCTTTCTGTACAAAATCTGGAATATAAACAAAATAGTTTTGGTCTTGGTAGTGGGCACTCATAATGGGAGTGAGTCGTGTTTTACACTTTCAGCAATATTCCAGCAATATCTTGGCAGGATACGCCAGATATGGGCTTCACATATCAGTTACAGATTGACCAAGAAGTTAGACTGGCGTACCAGGTACATACCGGTAGGTTGTTTTATATGGTGAATACGGTAATAATTATCACCTGACTAATTTTCATAAATGGAAACGAGGTATAGAGTGACAGCGATAACTTTCATACAAGGTTAATATGATGATATATGAGAACTCTGTGTAATACGAAAACTGAATCATATGGACTCATTTCACGCTCGGTGAGGGGCAGGTGTAATACAAAAAATGAATCATATGCACTCATTTCACGCTTGGTTAGGGGCAGGTGTAATACAAAAACTGAATCATATGCACTCATTTCATGCTCGGTTAGGGGCAGGTGTAATACAAAAACTGAATCGTATGCACTCATTTCACGCTGCTCGATTAGGGGCATGTATGAGATTTTACATTTCTATGTCTCTGAATGTGTATGAAATCACACATTTGCAACTGCTTGTTGACAATAAGAGTTTATATCTCAAAGATTCCTCTAATTTCCTGTTTTTAATAGTAAAATCAACAAAATATCAACACAAACAAGCACCGTTTTTGTACGAAATTAGACACTTCTGGTACATGTAAAACTAAAATAACAGAAGGTGTCCCATTGACAGATTAACAAGGGTCACGTCAGACAAGAATATCAACATGAGCAACAAAACTTTTCAAAATGTCTGGTTAATGGATTACTTCTATCAATAATCTCAAATCAATTTTTGATCTACCACTACAGAGATGGCCAGGAAACAACAGGTGACATATCCAGAGGACGAGATCATCATTAAGGTGGTTTGATTATGTCGCTAAATTCTCATTTAAGACAGAATCACCCATATTAGTTGTATACTAACATGTAGCACAGTGTTTAATCATTTTTGAAAATAATTTGATTTTTATCCACACCGGGTGTTAATTCCCAATGGAACTGTGAAATCAGTTTGTTCACTAATCTATTACCATGGTTACTGGGATGCACAATTCTAGAATGCAGTTTGGTACTTTCTTTTGTGTCTATTTGTCCAACAGATACTTTCAAACAACCACTATAATACTCATTAAAAATATCAAAGGAACTGGAATTTTTAAACATCTAAAACTGAGAGCAATTTTACATATAAAATGTGCAAAAGCTACCACATTTCATACATGTTTCCACTACAACACTCACGACACTTGACCAGTATTGTCACATATGCCCACGGTATCCTCAAATACTGAGATTCAGCTGATGTACAATCAAAGTTTCAATTTGGGGGACAAAAAATACAAATACTATTCAAGAACCGACAAGTAAATTGACAGGATGAACTGACAAGCTGAAACAGCTTAACAAGCATCATGACTTTCTTGGTACATTCCTAAGCATAATGCCATTTTCTTCTCATTCCTGAACAAACTCTGTTAAAGCTTCAAACAATTATTTTGAAGGGAAAAGGTGATATTTTACAATCTCGTCTTCCACTAAACAGATTTACATGGAAACTGTATATTGCACAATAGTTTCAGGAACAGTCATGTACCACAAAGATTCAACAAGAGTGCTCACACATCTTCAAACTGAACCAAGATGCATCAGCATGTCTGGCCAGTGCATAGGTCCTCAGCACTCAACACTTCTAAACAATATCTACGATATGAGTGAGTGAGTGAGTGAATGATTTGTATGCCTCTTTGCAATATTCAACCAATGTTAAGAGAGTAGACACCAATAATGGATGATAAACAATGTGCCCATATTCAGAATCAAACCTGGGTCAAAGGCTGGAAGAGAAAACACTTACCCACTGGGCTAGTCTAATATTAGTATCCAAGAAGAGCAAACTTTTATCAATATTTTCTTATA